TGTAAAATAACAAGATTAATTCCTTCTCCAGAAATTTGCTGAAAGGAGTGATTTTGCTTTTGTTGCAGAGATGCCAATTATGTTTCTTATTCCATTTTTAAACATGCTAGATACTCTTCTTACCCTCTCCAGCCAATTAAGTGTATGTTCCTCAGACCAGGTCTAGTATTGCAGGATGAGAGGGAGGTGGGATTGAAGGTGTGTTGATTGGTTGGTAGGGGATTTTTTTGCTAACCACAGCTTCCTTCACCCTGCCCCATCAGTGTAGAAAGTGCTGCCCTCTACCAGTCCTGAACTGCTGGACTCTTTCCTGTTGGTTATAGATATTTACTGTAAAGTTTCATCAGCACTTCCTGTAATACCCCTATCCCTTCCACTCCATAGAGGGAAGCCGGAGATCATAGGCAGCAACCTGGATGTTTTGGTGACTGTAGGGCTGGCTGAGAGGGTGTGTGAAGACTATCGCTTGGCAGAAGAAGTATGCAATGCAATCTCCAAACTTGCCAGTAATTCTAAGGTAAAGCTCTCACTTTGTCTTTGTAGTCACAGAAATAGTTACCTGGTAAAAGAGAAGCAGGGAACGGAGTTTACGTTGAGAAAAGAGAATTTGTATTGTATAGGTCTTTTTGTTTTGTTTTTGTTTGTATGGGATTTTTTGTTTTTTCAAAATGAGGTAGGTTGAGACCATTCAGCAGCACTGTCTGGAAAGCTTATCACACATCAGTGAACATGCAATAAGAATATTTTCATTAGGCAACTGCTGAATTCAAATTAGAAAAGAGTTCAGTGCACAAGAAAATCTGTTTTCCTTCCAATTCTCTTGCTCATACTCCCCATTCTAAGCTGATTTATGTCTCCTCAACCATGAAGCACTTTCCTCTACTGATATTTTCTGGTGTTGTGATTCCTTTGCCCTCTCTGTTAATTGATATTTGGGAGTTGTTGACTGTATGGCTGAATATAAAACATGACAGGTTTTCAAATTCATTCATGTTATAACTGGTGGCCTATCAGATGGTTTCTTTGTTAAAGAGCAATTTATAGTTTTTAATGCACTTAGGGAAAAACTCTGTTTCTTCTTTTTTTTTTTTTTTTTGGCTTTGTTTTTAGCTCAAGCATTTAGGGTATTTTAATTTAGGAGTTGCAGCATGAAAGCTGCCCTTTTTCACACATCACAGTCAGTCTGGTTTTGCCCCTTTCACTGGGGACGTGACTGCAGGACCTCCATGAATTAATGTACGTTACGGCACTCTGAATTACAGCTATCTTCAGAGTATTTAAATTTTATGTTGATTTAATACTGTAATTACCTATATGAGAAGGGACTGATATTTGAATAATTGTGGAAGCTCTTCTGCTCCTGCCCCAAACAAAAAGTTCATAACGGAGAGTAAAATTATAGTAAACTGAGAAATTTTGCTTCCAGCTACTGAAAGCTGGTGAATCTCAAGCAGTAACTTGTCTTAATCAAGTATATCTCAATCAGGAACTCACAGATGTGCTGGGGTACCCCAGGCATTGTCATTCTTGGTAGTCTTAAACCAAGCTTATATGTAGTGGGAGCAGTATAGAGCAAATAACATCAGATTTAGAGTCATTTTAAGATTTTAAGGGTTTTTTCAATTTTTAAGGTAAAGTAGTGGAACTACTTGGCATCATGGTTTGGACAAGCTTCAAATCTGCCCAGTGCTGCCATCATGTCTTAAAAAGTGACAGTAATGTCCCCACTATGTGTTGAGTTGCAGAGCAGTGCTGGATGTCCCTGCTATGGCCATAACAAGGCCTTTGGTTTAGATTGTGCACACAGCAAGGTGAAGAGCCAGTAGGGCACGGAGGTGTTCTTTTGTGTGGTGGGAGTAACTTATCTCTCTCTGCAGCCAGCAGGGGGGAAGAACAATGTCCCATTTCGACTGCCACAGGAACAAGCGCTGTTTGTGTGCCTGAGCGAGGCTGTGAGTAATGGTGAGCTCAAGTCAGCAGCACATTTGGAGGAGGTGGAGCTGGGCTGTGAGGCAGTTTATGTTGCAGCTGTTCCATGTGGTACATGGTTTCTTTTTCTCATCAGGCTTTGCCCAGCCAAGCAGTCACTGGATCCCCTTCATGGAGGCAGCAGTAACGCTCATCTACCAGCTAGCAGAATGTCCAGAGAAGATATGTGCTCACATCCTGCAGGTGTGCAGCCAGAAAGCTCTGGAGAATCTGCAAGAGGCTGATGGGCAGAAAGAGGGTGAGGGAAAAAAAGCTGGTGAAGCAAATCTGTACCTGTGGTTTCCGGTGCTATGATTGGGTGGTCTGAGATAACTGTGGGAGGAAAAGAGTTGGGGCTAGTAGAGATGCTGGCATGGAGGAATGTAAGTGCTGTGAAGGGGTCTGTGGAGCATGGAGGTGGGTTATACAGTTACTGAGGTTGGGCAGTAACTGATACGTGGAGGTTTCAAATCAACGCTGAACTACAATAATTTTTCCTCCACTAGAGTCAGGGTCTTCTCCCAGCAGAGTCTCTGATGGTGCTAGCAGCCTCCCTACATTCCTGCTGCTGCACCTGGTGTCCCTTGTGGGACAGGTGGCACTGCGGCAGGTAGCGCATTTGGAAGTGTCTATGAGTGCGGAGCTGCGCAGACGCCGCATCCTCAGGGAGGAGGAGAAGACCAAGAAACATAAAGAGCGTTCTGACAGCAGCACAATAAAGCAGAGACCTCGGGTGAGAACTTGGTGATTTGTTTGTTTGTTTTTTCCTCTTCTGATGTCCCAGCTACTGCCACAGCAAACTTCTAGTGGACATGAATTTGTCAAGGACTGACGGGGAGATCCTGTTAAGTGAAACTCCAGCCATTCTTGGGTACAGGACAGGCAGGGGGAAGAAGCAAAGGGTAATAACCTGACTAGGTTTATCTTCTTCGTTAGTTTCCTCTCTAACCATCAGCTCAGTTTCCTCTTCCTTTCATCACCTCCTTTATTAACATTGCAGTCTTTTTGCAATTGCTGTTAGTGATGAAGAATGAGCACCCATTTGTGCACTGAGTTTTATAAAAACAGTTTCCAGAAGTTTAATCCACACCCAGTTCTACTACAGGGTGTCTTCCAGTGAAATTGACTTCTTTGGGTAAGAATAGAAGAAAAAATCATCTCCCTAGACTTTCAGTCTTTATTAGATGGATACATTGCTGTGTCCAGAGAACTTTGTACATTTTCTCATCTGCTCTGCTTAAGAGTCACTGTCATTTCCCACAGAGGGGGAAGGTATTACGAGATTTTCCCAGAAGTAGCAATTGGGTGCAGATCTGATCCCCTGTGCAATGCTTTTGTCTCTTTTCTTCCCTTGTGTTTTTGTTTTTCCTTTGTGATAAGGTTCCTATAGTCTTGCTCCAGACCAGAAATTCAAAGGCTGCTTTGATTTTCTTTGCTTTGGGGATTTGCATGTCGAGTTGTGTTTGACTTGAGCACTGATGCTGGTATCTTATTTCTGTCTCAGTTTGGTAGCTTCGGTAACTTAGACTTTCTTTGGTGTACTGTGGCACATGCACTAGGAAATCCTGGACTACATTTCACAAGCTTCATTTAATTCTTACAGAAAAGCAAGTTACAGAATTCTCTGTCAGTCTATTCTTCCAGACTCTTGTCATGCTGCTGGGGATATGCATTGCACTTCTCGCCTAAGAGAGAAGTACTTTGTGAAGGAAAGGATTATCATTGCCCATCATCTCTTTTTACAACCATTTTTTTCTACACAGAGCACAGGAAACGATACCACTATGGAGGAGGAGCTGGGCCTCATTGGAGCATCTGCTGATGACACTGAGGCTGAGCTCATCCGCAGTATTTGTGAGACAGAACTTCTAGATGGTAAGTATGGCTCCACTGAAGAGCAGCACAGATTCCATCTGCCACGTGTGAGAGAATGGGAGGGGTGGGTAATGCATCTAGAGGAAGGGAGGCTGTTTCCTTCATAAACAAACACTCTCATTTTTCTTCAGTTTCATTATAGATTCTTTCTTTATTCTGCTTCTCTGAGGGTAGCAAAAGTGAGTTATCCAGCTCATATAGTCTGCAGGAGTTCTGCTATAAATTCAATGATTTTTCTTGGAATGCTGCTTGAACAGCACTAGTATATCTGCTGCTTTCATCCCCACTATCTAGAGAAGCACCTGTTTTCTGCCTTTGTTCCACTGGTGCTCAAGATCTGCAACAACCCTGGGCTCTACAGTGATCCGGCACTTAGAGCTGCTGCAGCCCTGACTCTTGGCAAAGTCTGCCTGATTAGGTAACACTGATGTTCTCTTATCAGCTTCGCTGGCACTTAAGTACAATAAATGTTGCAACTCCTTTCTGGGGAAGAGGAAAAAAAATGGGTAAAAGAGCATACACTTATTGTCTCACTAATATCAGAGACTGGATTTTGGTTACTAATTTTGGCCTTCTTTTTGATACCTTGTCCTGCCAGCTCTGAATTTTGTGACTCCCACTTGCGCCTGCTCTTCACTATGATGGAGAAGTCCCCTCTGCCTGTTGTGAGATCCAACCTCATTATTGCAGCAGGAGATCTGGCCATCCGTTTCCCCAATCAGGTGGAGCCATGGACACCACATCTGTATGCCAGGTAGTGCCATGCTTATTGCTAGCAGAGGACAGGTGATAAGAGCTCGATGGGAGGGTGGCACCGGGCTTCTGGAAGGTGAGCCTGTTGGAGGAAACCAAATTTTAAGGCATCAGTGGAGGGAGACAACAGAACTGGCTTGTAGAGTAAGTAGGATGTCATGGGTACTGATAACTTAGAGATGCTCAGCTGCTTTCTATATTAACTATTTGCTTCTGCCAGGTTGCGAGATCCCTGCCAAAGCGTGAGGCAGACGGCTGGAGTGGTAATGACTCACCTCATCCTCAAAGACATGGTAAAGGTGAAAGGTCAAGTGAGTGAGATGGCAGCTCTGCTTATAGACCCAGAGGAAGCAATCGTGGGAGTGGCTCAAAACTTTTTCAATGAACTCTCCAACAAGGCAAGTGGATGCTCAGGATTCTTAGTTCATAAGAATGGCAAGCGGCTGGTAAGGGTTGGGTCAATGACACAAGAATTTGGAGTCCTGGAGAAAGTGTGTTGTAGGGGATCTATCTGCTGTTCCTCTGTGTTGCCTAAATAAGAGTAGAAAAAGGAAATTTTGCAAAATAAGTTTTGATGTCAAATTTGTGCTCATCCATTCACATCAGAAGGCAGGCTCCAAAACAGTGCTTTGTCTACCTACTTACTTGTGCACACCTAGTATGGGCTTGGGAACAAGTCTTGTAAGAGTTCCCTGACTTCAAGCTCAGACAGTGCATCATCTGAGACCTTTCAAGGTTATTCCTGGCTGCGTGACATTGAGATACTTAAATTGAAGCAGTTACTGTCTAGGCAGGTAGGAGCCATAGCAGTATTACCCCCTATGCACTGTTTATTCATCTTGAAGGCTGCTGAAGGCCCTTCAGAGTTTGAGATTTACTGCCTAAGAGGTGGCAGTGATACTGGAGCTTTACCCTCTTGTCTTGCTCTGTTAAAAGGTAAGCCCTACTGTACTAGTTTTCTATCTCTGCATTGTCTGTAACTAAACTGCCTATAAGCATTGGGAAAGGGAATTTGGGTTGGGTCTCTCACAGTTTCTTGAGCTGAACTGTTCTGTATGCTTCCATCCAGAATGTTTTTGTGCTGGGAGGTGACAAGGGTGTAAAGAAACTGCATCCAAGGCTGCCAAAGAGGGTTGCAGTTGTTGTTAGCTCCTTAGCTTTAGTCAAGTAGCTACAGATAGGATTGGCTGGCTGTGTACAGCTTGTTTCAAGAAGCTGATGCTTTCGCTTTCTGTTAGTAGCTTTGTGCTGGGAAAAAAGGTAACTTTAAGTGAACAGGTTATTTGTCTTGGCTCCAGCTGTCATTTTTTTGTATCTCATGTAGAACCTTGTGTCCCACGCAGGATAATGCCATCTATAACCTGCTTCCAGACATAATCAGTCGTCTCTCAGATCCTGACTGCGGCGTAGATGAAGAATCCTTCCACACTATTATGAGGTATGTAAAATCTGAAATGAGGGTTAATGAAGTCTCTTCTGACTAGGACTATTGAGCTAAGGGGTGCCAAATCTACAGAATAAACTACCATGGCATACATAATGCTTTTTTTCTCGTTCTCCTCAATCTGACTTTTTCACAGTCTGCATCTGAAAGGGAAGTCATCCCAAGGGGAACCAATCTAAAGCCACCTCATTGAGGGTGAAGGAAATGTTCCATAGAGAGTTTTCACTAGCTCATTCAAAATCACTTTTCCTCTAGAGATGTAAAAACACTTCAGTTTATACATAGGAACCCAGCCAACTATAGGAGGAGTTAACAGAATTTCCTTGTTATTTTGGTGACCTACTGGGTTTTTGTAAGCAGTTTTAATGTTTAATAAAGCTATAGATAAAGCAACAGATTTGGGTGTTGGTTGTTGGGGTGGGGTGGGTTTTTTGCTTTTACTTTTTTCCTAGAAACCCTTACTCATGGCGTTTGCTGATGGCTTCAGTTGCTCATAGACAGCATAAAGAATCTTTGGTTTCCATTATCTATTTTCTTTGTAAGACTTAACCTATCTCCTATCAAATATCTTTAGTGGTACATTACAAATTTTTCTGTTCGTACATGAAACTTGGCCACATGAGAGTTTTTCTGAACTGGTTCTGTTGTTCGGATCCATGTGGATTAAATCATAGAATGGGCTGGGTTGAAAAGGACCACAATGATCATCTAGTTTCAACCCCCCTGCTCTGTGCAGGGTTGCCAACCACCAGGCCAGGTTGCCCAGAGCCACATCCAGCCTGGCCTTGAATGCCTCCAGGGATGGGGCATCCACAACCTCCTTGGGCAACCTGTTCCAGTGTGTCACCACCCTCTGTGTGGAAAAACTTCCTCCTAATATCTAACCTAAACCTCCCCTGCCTCAGTTTAAAACCATTCCCCCTTGTCCTATCACTTGTAAACAGCCATTCCCCCTTCTCTTCATGCACTCCCTTCAAGTACTGGAAGGCCACAATGAGGTCTCCCTGGAGCCTTCTCTTCTCCAAGCTAAACAAGCCCAGCTCCCTCAACCTTTCCTCACAGGAGAGGTGCTCCAGCCCTCTGATCATCTCAGTTCCCCTCCTCTGGTCCCGCTCCAAGAGCTCCAAGTCCTTCCTGTACTGGGGGCCCCAGGCCTGGATGCAGTACTGCAGATGGGGCCTCACAAGAGCCAAGTAGAGGGGGATGATCAGCTCCCTCTCCCTGCTGGCCATTCCTCTTTTAATGCAGCCAGAACACAGTTGGCCTTCCGGGCTGCAAGTGCACACTGCTGGCTCATGTCCAGCTTCTCGTCTCCCAGGACCCCCAAGTCCTTCTCCACATGGCTGCTTTCAAGGAGTTCTTCCCCCAGTCTGTATAAATACCTGGGATTGCCCCAACTGGACGGGTATTGCTGTTGCTGCAGAAAAAAACTTCCAGTGGTTTTTGACTGGAGTCTTTCTGTCTGTGAGATTCCACTGCATTTAGGAAGAGGGATGGAATTTTGAACAGGCAGGAATTGCAAAGCTCAGAAAAAGACTACCAGTGAGGATAAGATTAATTTATGGCTCCAAAAGTACATAAACATTTTGCTTCAGTTTTCAATGGGAGATAATGGGAAATATAGCATGTAACTACTGATAGTATACATAGAAGAATTTAGTGGCAGAGGTAGAAGCAAATCATCAAACACCATTATATATGAAGTAGATGGCATACATGAGAAGAACGGGATGTACTTCTAGAATACTCAGTACAGTTTTTAATAAATGTCAAACTGGAGGTGTTCTCACAGACATAGAAATTAGTAAGTTTAGCACTTGCATTGAGGATGGACAGGGTTCGTGTGATGAAGACACACACAGATTGATTTATCTGCCTTCCACAGTACACAGAAAGAAATAGAAGTGCATAGCAAGAGAAAATGTATTAACGAAGTAGGCAGAAGTCAAATTATTCTAAATCTAATGCAGAAGAGAATTGTGGCAGACCTACGTCAACTAGCATACTGCTTTGAATTCTTCAGATAGGAAAGAAGGAAGTAGTTGGAACTGAACTATTTCTCCATGTAATAGTATTATATGAAGTGCTTGTATTATGGAGAGGATCTAGTTAAACTCAAAGGCATGAGCTGGGAGGAAGGGTGGCTTATAATCCAAGGATACTTGCCAAAACGGAGATTGTGGAGGTGTAGAAAAGAAAGGACCGGTGATGTCTACTGATTGATAATTAGCAAGGAAAGTATCACTGTTATAGGACTAATTAATTGAGAATGAGGATTGCAGTAATAACTGTTCCAAAAACTAGTAGAACAAAATATAACAGTGAGCATTTAGAAATGGTTTAACCCCTGCTGTAAAGGTATGCCTAAAGTTAGCAAGAGATTCATTCCGCTTGCTATTTTAACAGATGCTTTATTTCTGCTTTCTGTATAGGAAGTACAGGACAGTGCTGGTTAGACCTTGGTTGGAATGCTGTCACAATTTGGGTTGCTTAAATTAAGGAAAGATGAATTGAAGTTGGAACAAATGCGGGGAGGGGAGTGTTGAGGATAGAGTGTCAGTTCCATAGCTTAAAAGAAAGGAAGCTTGATTTGGTGGTGGTTGTAGGCATGACAAAGACCAAACAAGGATGTACTTGTGGCAGCTACATAAAAGCCAGCAGCAACTTGACTAAGAATAATTTAACAGAATTGTTGGTAGAAGAAAAAGGAGGACTATGTGCCATACCTTTTTAATACAGAGAATTCAGTTATTCAATAGCTTCTAAGAGGGCATCATGCAAAATATAGAGTACTTAACTGTCTTCAAGTCAACGTTGTCTTATTCCTCAAAAAGCTGAGAAAAATGTGGGATCAAGTTGATGTTTCAGTTCTGTTCAGCTTTGTTCCCTCTTTACTGTAAAATAATGTTCACTTTTCTATTGTTGAAAATGTATAGCAATGTACCTTCAGCAAAATAATGATTTTTGAGAAAAGAAAGTCTGCATGCCATCCCACACCCAGTACAGTCTGCCTTTTCAGACATACTGGTCTGTAGCACAGCTCTGAAGTGGGGAGATCATCTGGAGGCGTTGCTTCTCTTAAAATTGTATGGAAGGAGCTGAGCAGAAATAGGTACTGCAGCCTTTTCAGCAACCCACCTACCTCACACAGGCATAAGCAGTTCTCATTCCAGACCTGCAAGAGTCCTTGCTTTAGCTGTATTACTTAGCTGTATTTTGTCTTAGGTAGGCAGGTGCTTCTTAACAAACATGCAGTTACAATTATTATAGCAGCTGTCCTCCAACAGGGACTGCGATTATTACTTACAACATATTATATGCTAATAGCTTCTCCTGAACAGAGTCTGAGGCGTGTAGAGCTTTCTAGTCTTCACATTTGGAGAACCACCTAGCTGATCACTGGGCAGGAGATCTGCAAGCAAGCTGTGGTGAAGGTAGAAATGGGATTTCCTCTCTAAGCTTTCAGCTTTACTATGCTTTTCCTTTGCAGACATCTCTTCTCATATATCACAAAAGACAAACAGACTGAGAGCTTGGTGGAGAAACTTTGTCAGCGATTCCGGACTGCTAGGTGAGTTTAAATCTCAAATTTTCTATATTTCTCCTAAAATACATGAATAAAATATATCCTTGTCTTATTACGCTGTGATCTAGTAGGTGGCAACTCTGCCTATGGGAAAGGGTTGGAACTGGATGATCATTAAGATCCCTTCCAAACCAGGACATTCTATGACCCTTCGGGTCCTTCTCCACAGGCACCTCAGTTTAAAAAAAGAATAAAATAAAAAAATGAATGTGTTAAACTGAGGTGCTGGGATCTCCTTATCTGTCCCATTCTTGTTCTGTGTGGACAGCTTGCTCAGTTCTGACTATGCTGCAGACTGTTTTCTTGTTTGACTGCTTGTACCACATGATATGTATTATTCTACTGTCTGCAAGACATGACTTGTTTATGGTGCTGATTAAAGAATATAACAGTCCAGAGCCCATCCCATGCATCTGGGGTATCTTTTTGCCTCCTAGAAACTTTTTTTTTTTTTTTTTTTTGTTAATGCTTCTTTCCCTTTGCACCTCAAGCTGTAACTTTACTGACTTGTATTTTTCCTCAAGAAAAAAAGACAGAAGAAATGAACCTGCCTCTGTCAAATATTTTCTTTGTTATCTTTATCTTCTACTGGATTTGGTGCACCCAACATTCCTCCATTCCTATGGTGTTCCATCTCCACAGTTGTGACTTTGCCCTTGAGGTTTAAAGCTGTGTCTGCTTATCTTGGCTGTTTGTACACAGTGCCTGGGCATGTGACCAACTCAGCTGCCTCGGGGAGTTGCATATTCCTGAGAAATATTTGGATTTTGTTTCCTGAGCCAGAGTAGAAAGTGGCCCCTCTCTCAAAATTTTATCCTAGGAACAGTGGTGAGGTCTTCAGACTCACTTGTAAAGATCCTTGTGGCTGTAACACATCTAGCTTTTGCTATGCTGTCCTAATGTCACCACAGTACCAAAGAGATGATCGGTTTAGTGCTCACTAGAGGTAATGCTAGAGCAAGACTCTTATTCAAGGCTAATACAGGAGCTTATCAGGAAAGATTATGCAGCCACCATTCTTAGGATTTCTGGAGTTCTAATTAGCAACATGCCAAGTATGACTGTCTCCACATTTAACACCTGGATGCTGCAGCTCTTTTTCTCTGTTTGGACAGTACATTTTGAGTGTATATGTAAGCCCTCTGTTTTGTACACATGCCTAAGAGGGACTTTGACCTAGTGTTTTTACTCCCATTCTGTCTCGGTGAGCTATACTGAAGACATTAATTTGGATTTTTTTTTATTATTTGTAACTTTCACTAGAATCTGGACCTACCTGTCCTTTGACACAGCAGTTGCTATTTGCTTTGTATTGTAATGAAAATGTCCTTTACGCCTGTAACTGACAAGCAAAGACATTTTCAAGAGCAGCCAGGTTTTTTTTTTTCTTTATGCTTTTTAGTTGAAATGAGGCCCTTCAAAAAGAGCCCTTATATCACTGCGTGTTTCTCCACCTAGCCAGCAATAACTTCTGACACTTTTTAACAAGTATTCTTTAACAGTGAAGCCTTTGTGTTTCTGACAGACACTAAGTCAGTATTTTTTGTGGGATACAGTGGTTGTACAGTGTGGCACCCTGTAACAGATCTGTAACAGAACATCATTAAATCTCATGTTCCATAAGGAGAAAACACCTGTGGGAAATGCCTTATCCCTGCATGCTTCAGTTCGAGGTAGGATGTGCTCATCTTTACACACACCTTTTCATATGAACTATGGGCAATCTTTGTCTTTCCCAGAAATGAACGTCAGTATCGGGATCTGTCCCACTGCCTTTCTCTGCTTCCCATCTCAGAGCGGGGCCTTCACAAACTGCAGGACAACTTTGACTGCTTTGCAGACAAGCTCCAAGACCCAGCTGTCTACAGCTGTTTCCAAGCTGTGCTGGTTCGATTCCGCAGAGCATTCAGCAAACCTGAGACTAAAGTAAGGATGGTTGGTGGGAAGCATCCAGGTTGGAAAACAAGTGCTTTATTAACACAGTAATTGGAAAGCTTTGCAGTTCTCCATGTTAAACAGGCTACTATTTCGTCTCAACAACTTAACAGAGATCCTGATGGAAATCCTGGAGCAGGAGATGGCTATGCCATGGATGTAATGCTTCTCTCTGTTTTTTCTCTTTTTTTTTTTTTTTTTTTTTTTCCTGCTGTGTTACAACTATACCAGGCTTTGGTTGAAGAGCTGGAGCAGAAGCTGTCTGCCTGCCATAACCAAGGGCTGGATTCAGCAGAGATGTGCCAGGAAGGTGATAAAACTCCATTGCCAGAGCCAGCCAAGCGAAAACCAACAGCAGGTATATTCCATTTGTGGGACTGCAGTCCTCCTTTAACCTTGTAGCCCAGCAGAGACGCCTAGGGAGTTTTCTTCATCCTTACAGACAGAAGGCTGCTACCTTTCCTTTTTTCTTAGCAGGCTGCCGCCGTCAGCCCCTGAGCACAGCCAACAGGGATGATGATGATTTTGTCACACCCCGGCCACAAGCATTCCGAAACAATAAACGTGTCCAGAAGTCCCGTCGGCGTAAGAAAACTGTTATCACTTTCTCCAGTGATGAAGAGAACAGCTCTGAGAATGGTAAGGCATTAGACGTGTATGTTCAAAAGTAAAAGCAGAGAGGTGGAGAAGGACTGGAGATTTAGTGTATCAAGGGTGAGAGCTTGTTGGAGAAACTTTGTCAGGGATTTTGGACTGCCAGATGAATCCTAAATTTCTTCCTATCTTTCTCCTAAAATGCATGAAGAAACTCTTCTGGTCTTACTACACTTGGTCTAGTGCATGGCAACCCTGCCTATGGCAAAGGGTTGGAACTGTATGATTGTTAAGGTTCCTTCTAACCCAGGACATTCTGTAATTCCTCTAGAAGGGGTAGAGTGCACACAGGGATCAAGAGCTGCATGCAGATTTCTCTGTTCAAGGCAGTGGAGTGATGGTTGTTGACACACTTTACTTTCTCAGAGCTACTGGCAGAATTAAGAGAGGAAGAAACCCCCACCAAAACAACTCCCATCACCAGGTCTTCAACCCGACGGCTGCACTGAGGGAACCATCTGCCACTGTCTTTAAAAATAAAGCTTGATTTTTGCAGCAGTCATCTTCTTTTGTCTGAATTACCACATAATTTCATAGTGCTTTAAATGAAGACAAAATGGAAAGTCATGCAACATGCTGAAAAGATTTCAAGCCTGTCTGATATCTCCACGATGAAAGGTAGTGATTAACATGGCTGCTGCTTTGCCTGTTTGCCCTGACTTTGCAGATGGAAAACACACTGCTCTGATTTAAACAAACAAACTTATTCTCTGGGAAGAAAAAAAAAAAGAAAACAGCCAAATGTAATCACTGAGTATACTTATTCCTTCCCCATTTTGTACCAGGGTATAAGTACACCATTCACCTTCTCTTGACACAGGCCCAGTAATTTTGCTGGGCTTAGGCCCTTTTATGTTTGATTGCTTTGAGGGTCTTGCTCTGCAGAGACCAGGAGGACTTTGAGGGGAAGTTACTTTTCTTGAACAGATCTCAAAGAAAAGGTGAGGAATAGTAGAATGTAGACCATGTAACCTGAGTAGGAAAGAAAATACAAATAATTTTTTTTTTTTTAAGTGCAGAATTACTTTTGTCAAAGCTATACAGGATAACTTTGGCACTTGTTACGCAGGTAGCATTGCTCATCTCGCTGCACTTAAGCAACATCAGTGCTCGGGTCAGGCCTAGCACTTAGACAAGCCATGTGAACATGAAGTGCCTTAAGTGTGAATGTTAATCATACAAACAGCCTTTAACCTCCTGTCTCGCAGGCAAATTGGCATTTGTCCCAGAGCTGTAGTACAGAATTATTTCCTCTTACCTGGCGGTTGCCTAGAAAACAAACACTTCTCAGGCCAGTGACTTGCTGGATGGCAAGCAGAAGGGTCCTGTTCTCAGCAGGTTCCTGCGTATCTTCCCCTGTTCTTCCACTGAGTGTCTCGCTGTTCCCGCAGTCACTGTACTTATCTTCAGTCCACCAGCAAGGAGAGCCTTCTGCTTGGTTCTCTGGTCTGGCTATGAAAGTAAGTAGCGACAAAAGACTGCAGTAGTTTATTTTGATCTCTATATAAAGGAAGTGTTAGAAATTGCATAGCTTTGCAGTAGCCTGGGAATGTGTTTTTATGCTAATACCTGAATGGACGTAAACACGTTAGCAGCTTGTAGAAATGAGCAGATGGGGAAATCACAGGCTGACAGCTCTATTTATGGGGATGGGATGCATAGATTAAGTTCCCTTGCAGCCACTGCTGTGTCACAGAGCCAGATACCAGTATACCCCCCACACACGCAAATCCAGTACACCTGTAAGAACAGAACAATTGCATGAAATATGAAGATCAGAAAGCTACAGCACTACTGTCCTACTCTCCTACCTTCCCTTATATTCAGTGAAGGCTACAAGCAACAGGGGAAGCAGCTACAGTATTAACAGAAAATACAACAGTCATGCATAGTGTACATGATTGCTCCACTACCACCCACTCACAGAAACAGCATCTATGGACTCCCAAGCTCAGGGCACTGCAAGCTTGTACATTAAATCTAGTGTATGCATGAGAATGAGATAATATGTTGACTGTATTGCAGTGAGGGAGACACTAGCATGATGGTAAGTGAAATCTGTGTTCCCCAAGGGGCTCCATTCCATAGCTGGTTCCGTGTTCCTACCCATGGTCCTAATTGAAATGACATGAACATTGGCCATTCCTTGGAGCCTGCAGCAGCCCCCAGCCTTCTGCATTGCCAAGGGGTATCCACAGAATACTTCATCCAGTTCGTAGTCCTCCCACCCTCTGTCCGGCTCCTTTCCATTTGCTTGTAAAAGACTGATTGCAATTCAGCAGGAGAGTATTTTTCTAATGGTTTTGTAAGCTCTGGAATCAGTGTCCCAGCATCAGAAGGAAAAGGGTTTTTACAGAGGCAACTTGTTAACACCAGAGAGGAAAGGACAATAACCTATTTCAGGCTGCAAAAACTGGGGCAATCAGGGACTCATCGCCTGCCAGAGCCTTTTTACTTCTCAGTCGTTGCCAGGACATGACAGAGTAACTATTCAGTCCTACTGCACTCTTAGCAAGGATCTGGGATGCAAAGCAGCTGCAACTTCATTCCACCTGAGTTGGGCCATGCTGCAAATTTATCCAGGTTTTGTAGGACTTGCAAATTTGCAATAAAATTTTCCAAATTTTCTACAGTTTCCTAAGTTTCTTGCATGGTATAGAACCAGTCAATTGGGAGTTCCATTCCTGCAGAGCTCAGTGTCCATGCAGCTGGGCTACAGTTTGGAGCAGCTGCAAGCAATTCTGGCATTCCTGCATCATAGAGGCTACCATGTTAAAGGGCTACCAGACCAATCTTCCGCTACGTTTTGTATCAGAAAAAAAGCATTGTCATTTTTTGTTGTTTTTTCTTATCTTTGACTCGGGAAAGGGTTGATTGAACTGTTGCAGTCAGCGTGAAATGAATCTGCCTGTGGCTGTCTTAATAGCAGCATGAAAGCTCTAGCAGACTGCCTCAGCTGCTTCAAGATGGTAGGATGTGAATAGGAAGTACGGAACCAATATCCTCAGAGATTGAAATGTGGGATGAATACATGCGCACTTCCCAGTTTCTCCCTCCCCTTTCTCCCACCCCTCTGAAACTTTCACATCTCCTCACTGCAAAGCGCTGGCACGTGGAAGGGCTGTGCGTGTGTATCGTGTGCACCACGCCAGTACTCTGAATGCCCACATAAGCAGCACATCCTGATTCTCTACCAGTCACGTGTGGTTTAAAAGGTTGGTGTGGAAATTCCCTCTGTACTGAATCCTGGTGATGCTGCACCTCGACTACTGTGTTAAGTTTTGGGCCCCTCACTGCAAGAAAGACAATGAGGCCCTGGAGTGCGTCCAGAGAAGGGCAGTGAAGCTGGTGAGGGGTCCGGAGCACAAGTCACATGGGGAGTAGCTAAGGGAACTGGGAAAGTTCTGTCTGGAGAAGAGGAGGCTCTCTACAACTACCTGAAGGGAGGTTGTGGTGAGCTGGGGGCTGGCCTCTTCTCCCATGTAACTAGTAACAGGACTAGAGGGAATGGCCTCAAGTTGCACCAGGGGAGATTCATGTTGGACGCTAGGAAATGCTGCTTCTCCCAGTGAATGGTCAGGTGCTGGAACAGGCTGCCACACCTGGGGGGGTCACCGTCTCTGTAAGTATTCAAGAAACATTTAGATGTTGTACTGAAGGCCATAGTTTAGCGGGAAATACTGATGATAGATGGACAGTTGGATTGGTTGATCTTGGCTAAATGGTGTGGTCAATACATTGGAAGGAACAGAAGCCATCCAGAGGGACCTGGACAGGCTGGAGAATTGGGCCCATGAAAACTTAATGAAGTTCAATAAGGCCAAATGCAGGGTGCTGCAGCTGGGTTGGGGCAATCCCAGGTATTAATACAGACTGGGGGAAGAACTTGAGAGCAGCCCTGTGGAGAAGGACTTGGAGGTCCTGGGAGATGAGAAGCTGGACATGAGCCAGCAGTGTGCACTTGCAGCCCGGAAGGCCAACTGTTTTCTGGCCTGCATTAAAAGAGGAATGGCCAGCAGGGAGAGGGAGCTGATTGTCCCCCTCTACTCGGCTCTTGTGAGACCCCATCTGCAGTACTGCATCCAGGCCTGGAGTCCCCAGTACAGGAAGGACTTGGAGCTCTTGGAGCGGGACCAGAGGAGGAGAACTGAGATGATCAGAGGGCTGGAGCACCTCTCCTATGAGGAAAGGTTGAGGGAGCTGGGCTTGTTTAGCTTGGAGAAGAGAAGGCTCCAGGGAGACCTTATTGTGGCCTTCCAGTACTTGAAGGGAGCATATAAACAGGAGGGGGAACGGCTGTTTACAAGTGATAGGACAAGGGGGAATGGTTTTAAACTGAGGCAGGGGAGGTTTAGGTTAGATATTAGGAGGAAGTTTTTCACACAGAGGGTGGTGACACACTGGAACAGGTTGCCCAAGGAGGTTGTGGATGTCCCGTCCCTGGAGGCATTCAAGGCCAGGCTGGATGTGGCTCTGGGCAGCCTGGCCTGGTGGTTGGTGACCCTACTAAACTAGATGATCATTTTCAACCCAGCCCATTCTGTGATTCTATGATTCTGTGATCTTAGGTGTCTTTTCCAACCTTGGTGATTCTATGGTACTATGATAATCTTGTTCCCCATTAAATGTCTCCCAACAGGGGCCTGGGTAGTATCATCCATGTGTCACAGGTATCAAGGGGTACATACCTGGATATGACACCACGCCTTGTCCTACCTGGGCAAAATCTCACCTGCTTCCAACCTCAGTGCTCCAGATGCAAGCTCTACACTCAAATTTCACAAGGTTGGTGTAAAGTGGTTCATTATGCTTTCTGTTTTGTTGGGCTGAGAAGAAAGGGAACCGCAGGTCTGTATATGAAGTGAAAAATGCCTGCAAAGGATGGAAAGTAAGACAGGGCAAGTATCTGAACTGTGACTTTTGTTATCACTGCAAAAGACTCATTTTTTTCTTTAAAGAAAGAAAGAAAGAAAGAAAGAAAGAAAGAAAGAAAGAAAGAAAGAAAGAAAGAAAGAAAGAAAGAAGAGCAAGTAAATAGGATAAATAGTAGACAGCAGAACATTGTCTATCAACTTTCATCTCAATTGCTGTATGCAGTGATACTGAAAAAAGGGAAATTCAAGGTATTATTACACCTCCCAACTGCTCCTGAAACAGGGTACAGTCTCCCCTTTCTTTCCCTCAGCAAACTTTCCTGATTAGTTACTGTCTTCACACCCAGGCTGACTTCTGTACTCTGGTTTCAAACAGTGACCTCATTGCGTTGTTCAGCTGGTGAGAAACTACAGTAAAATGGGAGAGGTAAACAAAGGGGGGGAGCTAATAGCCTGAAGATTTAGGAGGCAGGAGTCTGCTCCTCGCCATCCTACTCCCATTGTGCACCTGAGCTTGAGAAAGTGCAAGTTCAGCCTCGACAAGTGCTTTCCTGTGCTGGTTCCTCTGGAAACTCAGCCCAACCCCACAGATGGTGCACACTGAGCTATGACTCAGAACAACCAGTGTGCAAGCTGTGTGCCCACGTGTGCTTAGATCCATGTTCCTATCACTGTATCACTGCCACAGATTCCAGAGTTAACACAAAAACCCATACATCTACTGCAGCACAAGTTCCATGTCCCCTAGCCAACCAGCTCATCAAAACATAGGTGTTAAAAAACAGAGCCTATACTGTCACAGCACCAGATTTGTGACAGCTCACTGCAGTCAGCAGTGAGACTATTGCCAGCTGAGCTGCAGCTCATGCTCACTGTGGTTAAAGCAATAACATTAACAGCACTCTGCCTCAGAGAATGTCAGTGTCACTGCATACCACAGTCTCCAATACCCTTTTTCTGGACGTCCTGAAGTCTCATACTGATCCTGACAGATACCTCCAGGCCCCAGCCAGCAGCAGCTTGGCTTACATTTGTCTTCCCAGACACTCAGCAAACACTTTTGTGTCTTTTTTCTTTAGAGGAAGGGGTCTCACTGAGCTCACCCTGAAATATATCACCATGGACAAAAGGGCTGAAAGGTTAAGGAGCTCCAGGGGGGCATGCAGCAGAGCTGGGGGGCAGGCGCCTGCCAGAACCAACACTATAAAGGCAAAGAGGGGACGGGGCTCACAGAGGCTACAGATCCTGTTTCACCTCCCTAAGTCCTCGACTAAAGAGAAGATGCTGGGGCTCCCAGCGTGGCCCTGCTCGCTTTTCCTCCTCCTAGTTCTGCTCTCTGCCAGCGTACAAGCGATGTCCTCATCAGGACAAAGGCTCCAGGTAGGAGGGACTGGGATGGAGCTGCAGGAAGCTTTGGGAGTGGCAGGGGCAATTTGGGGGGGTCATGTTTGAACATGGCGTGAGCGGTGACCCAACATCCCAGCTCCCAAGGGCTGCTCCCTCCCCTTCAGTCCAACAGCCTCAGCTCTAGGCTGACTGTCTTTACAAGCTAGCTCCTTGGGGAGTTGCCAACATTTCAAGGTAGGGGTAAGGCAACAGCCTTTTAGTGAGTGCTCCTGGCTGTGGGTCTCTTTACTGCATGCAGAGGCTTCTGGCTGCAAAGAGAATAGTCCTATCTTATTGAGTCCTGTGGCAATAGCCACCTAAAGTTATAGTCCTGTCCTCTGCAGGGGGAAGGGCTTCTTTGTTTTATTAAATCTTTGTTAAATCTTTTAACTTCATCAATTGCAGAAACAATACTTATGGCTTTTAAATCAACCCAGCTTCCTTGTCCCCTAGCCCTAACCCAAGCCCCAGCACTCTGCCTTCACATCAGCTTCTCTGTCCAAGAAGAAAGCTGCAGGGAAGCAGCTAGGATGTGAACTAGAAATGCAGGACTGATTCCGCTATGACTCACCATGGAGACACTTTCACTCCTCTCTGAAGATGCCTGTGTCTGCTTCTATTAACTTGCTGCCAGAGAGGACAGAGCTCAATTGCATAAAGGCATCCTCAGCCGTAGGTCAGCAAGCATCCATGTGATGCACAGGCGTGGAGTAGCCACTGCAGGCTGCTGCCATGGGCAGCAGTAGTGTGCCCCCAGGGTACCTGCTGACCCATCTCCCTGCCACTGCAGGATGCTGGCAGTGATGGAGGCGTGTAATTAAATTAGAACATGCCCGTCTGCACAGAAAGTATGGAAACTTCCCAGCAGATGAGGAGCCTGCCTTCCTTAGGCCCGTTCTGATACTTGACTGCTTTATGGTAACAGTTCCTCTGTGACACTGCCCTCTGGAAAAAAAGAAACATGACAAAACACTCTGAGCACACAGTAGAACTCAGCTTCACCAAGAACAAGGGCTGATGCCTCCATTATTTTCCAAGTATAGAGAGAACTATCTGCTAGCAGCAGGGCAAGGAACAGAGACAGTAATGCCCACAGCATTCCTTCCTGTTCTTTGGGCAGCAAAATCAGCTAAGGCTGGGTAGCTGCAGACCCGGCCTTCCTTCAGTGTCCTTGGTCTGGATGCAAGGTCACAGGCATGGGTCCTTCTGCACAAGCACCATTTTATGTCCTGCCCGAGTCTGAGGGAAGGAGAGTGGGACAGTGGGCTGGGGTATGGGAGCACGGGCAATCCACCCTCACCCATCTCCTCCATTTATCCCTATGTCTCAGGTGCTCCTTTCTCATCTGCTGCCCTCGGACTCCGAATCCATGCCGGCCGAGGAGGACATGAAAGAGGGGTCCAGCTCTGAACCGCAGCTGCTCTCCCCCCCACTGCCGCTCCTCCTGTCTGGGCCCCGAGCTGCACACCCCCTGCTCTGGCGCAAGGCCCTCGCCAGTCGCAAAAGAGCTCTCTCTGGAGACTGGGCCTGGAAGGCCGTGCCCCGGGGCTGCTTTGGGCTGAAAATGGACCGCATTGGGGCCTTCAGCGGGTTGGGCTGTTAGCCTGGAGAGACTGGAGGTGAGGGGGCCCGAAGTGAGGACGGCAGGAGGCCGGCCCTGGCCTCGCTCGTTCGCAGGCAGAGAGCAGGGGCGTGGAGAGCCGGCCCGGGACGAGACCCAGCTCGGGACGGGACGGGATGGAGCAGGCAGCAGCGGGAGCCCCGAGGGCAGGGCGGGGAGCCGCGCCGCGCCGAGGACTCGTGAATTAAACCGAGCCGTGTGAACCCTCGTGTCGGAGCTCGCGCCAGAGGCGCCCGCAGCGCTGAAGGGCTGCCGAGACGCGCGACCCTCACCGCACCCGCCGGGAGATGGCGGCAAAGTCCGCGGCGCGGCACGGCGCGGCCCCCACGCGCGGGGCCATTTTGGGTGCCGCCGCCATTCCGGGTGGGCCGGGCTGCACGCGCGTGCGGGGCCCGGCGCTGCGGAGGAGGAGGAGGAGGAGGAGCGGGGGAGGATGGGCGGCCGACGCATCGATCGCGGCCTCGGGACCGCCGCGTTGTCTCGTTCCGCCACGCTCTGCCCCTCGGCCGCTGCAGTGTTTGCCGAGCAAACAGAGGGGCCTCCGCGTGCCCTGCCAGCCCTGACCCCGCGACGTGCGGGGGCTCCCCCAGCCCCGGGCTCGCACCCCCCGGTAGGGCCGCACCGCCGCCTCCCCTGGCCTTTAAGAAAAGGTCGTAACCTCAGGCTGGGGCTAAACTTAGCCGCTGCCCCTCGGTGCACCGGGAATAGCAGCTACACAAGGAGAGTTGGGTTACGGGAGCTGCGTGACCCCTCGCTCGGACCCCCCACCCCCCCCACCCCGGTATCCTCCATCCCCTCCCTTGCAGCCGGAGCCGAAAGGGGAACCCGCCTCACCCCTCCACGTCCCCCTCCCGCAGCTTCCTCCCGCCGGGCACCCGGCTCCAGGTACCCGCTCCGTCCCACGGGATGGAGGCTTTCAACCCAGCACGTCCCCATCCCGCGGCCCTTCGGTTTGGGTCACACGAGCCCCGCTGCCCCGCAGCGGATCGCACCAAGCCGGGCGGCCCAGCATTCGCACGCGGTGACCGCTCCTTGCCCACACAGCAGGCCCGGCTGCCAGGCGCAGGCGTGCCGAGGCGGGAGCGGCACGACGGCAGCTCGAGGCGGCGGGAGGATATCCGCCGTCACGTCCCAAGAGCAGCGGGACGCTGCGGTTCCTCATTAGCATGGTCCTCACGCTGCGCCGCACGGCCCGCCGGGGAGGCTCAGAGCCGGGCCGGCGGGCGGCCCTGCGCCCCGGTATCACCGTGCGGGGGATGGATGCGGGACCCAGCGCACCCCAGCAGCTCGGGGCTGCGCGGCCAACACGTGCGAAGGCTGAGGAAGGGGAGCGAGCAGGCCGCAGCCTCGCACGGCGCTCTGTCGAGCTCACGGCCACGCACCGCTCTGCGGATACCCGCAGCGGCGCAGCCCGCACCCGCCGTACCGCATCGCGTGCTGCAGCCGCATCGCCCCGGCCTCACCCTGGGACACCGCGGCCCCACGTGGGGCTTTGTCCGCACGCAGCTCCCCGGCCCCGGGGCACCGCTCGCCGCCCCCACCCCGCACAGCCGCCGTTGTACAGCATCAACCCCCCAAGCCCACCCTCGACCCAACGGCCGCCCTTTGTTGCGAGGGGGGGAGGGGGAAAAGGGGGGGGCCGCTTCGCCCGCACCGTGCGCGCACGTAGCCCCGGCCCGGCCCCCGCGCTGCCATTCGACGCCGGCCCGACGGGGCGGGGCGCGGGGCGCTGCCTCCGTGTCTATAAAGGGCGGCGGCGCGGCACTGCGCCACCTTCTCACTGCGCGCTGGGGCCGTTGACGTGCAGCAGGTAACGGGCGGGGGGGCTATGGGGGAGGAGAAGCCCCCCGCCCACCTCACCCACCCGCCTGTCTGCTTGCACCCCCCTAGGGGTTGGGACTGTAGGACCGCGAGGAGTGCGGCGGGGGAAGGAGGGGGGGGCTCTGCGCAGGGCCGCGTGGTGCCCGGGGCACAAAGGCGGGGGCGGGCGGCGCAAGATGGAGGCGGTGGGGGTGGAGGGGAGAGGGGGAGAACTGCGGGTGAGAGAGCTCGATGGGGATGCAGGAAGGGATGGCGGGTTGGGGGGCGGTTCCCGGCGCTCCGCAGTGCGCGGTGGGGGGACGTTACCGGGCTAGCGGTTTGCGTGCGGCACCGCACGTCTCACCGCCGGTCTCTTCCCGCAGGAACACTATAAAGGCGAGATGGTGAAAGTCGGAGTCAACGGGTGAGTGCAGAGCCGAGCCGGGAAGCGCCGGGTGGGGCGGGGTCTCGGGGATGTACGTGCCCGTGGGGGGGGGAGGGAGAGGGGGGGCAAGGTCGCCTGAAGGGCGGGGGGGGGCACCCCCATCGTGTTGCACCGAGATCCCCCTCGGCCCCGACCCGGGAGTAACGGCCCCGCGTGGCGGTGCTGAGTCACTTCCCCGCAGAGTCGGGGTGAGTCACCCCGGAAGCGCCGGCGCTGCCCGCGTGCCCCATCGGAGGGTCTCCCGGCCCCATCGGGGTTCCCCCGTGCCCCGTCGGTGGGCCGGGGCCAGCGGGTAACCGAGGAAAGGTCGCCTGGTGGATCGTGTGTCGGCGGTGCCCTGGGAATGTGACCTTCTCCCACCCCACCGAGGAGTAACCAGATCCCCGGGGCCTTTAGTAAATTTAGCACCTGACCTTTGTGGTGTGGGTGCCCTGGCCGGGGGTCGCTCTTAATCTTTAACCATGGCTCCTTGGCCTTTGGCCACTGCTGTTGGACTCCTCCTGGGCAGTGATTCACAGATGCTCTGTGGGAAAGCAGTGAATAAGCTCAGCCATGTCCAGCTGGGCGCCTTCCTCGCTGCTTCTCCTCATCCCCCTCTCTGTTTCTCCCCAGATTTGGCCGTATTGGCCGCCTGGTCACCAGGGCTGCCGTCCTCTCTGGCAAAGTCCAAGTGGTGGCCATCAATGATCCCTTCATCGATCTGAACTACATGGTGAGTTGCCTTGCAGTGCCCCCTCTGGGCACCACGTGCATATTGCATAGAATGGTTCAGCGGGGCCAGAGGCTCACCCAGCTCTGCTCCCCTTGGAAACCTGGCATAGGCTTGCAGGAAGGTTAAGAAGCAGAAACGAGGCATAGTGATGCAGACCTTGGAGACTGGGTAGAGCGAAGTGCAGACGAGCAGTTAGACAAGGTCACTGAGAAGGTGGAGAGTTGAGATTGTGATGGGAGCATTTCATCTAGGATGCCTGACCTTTCCTCTCTCTGCTAGGTTTACATGTTCAAATATGATTCTACACATGGACACTTCAAGGGCACTGTCAAGGCTGAGAATGGGAAACTTGTGATTAATGGGCATGCCATCACTATCTTCCAGGAGTGAGTAGCTTTCTCCTCTTGCTGTTCCAGAGGATGAAAGTAAGTGCCCTCCAGAGTAACTGCCATGGTTTTGTCCCTTCTCAGGCGTGACCCCAGCAACATCAAGTGGGCAGATGCAGGTGCTGAGTATGTTGTGGAGTCCACTGGTGTCTTCACCACCATGGAGAAGGCTGGGGTAAGTAGGCCACTGTGGCCTGTGGGAAAAGGGTTGCTGGTTCTTATTTCTGTGGGGCACATCCTTATCTACAGAGCTCTTCAAAATGGGGAAGAGATAAGGTGAAGAGATAAGATGGTCTGAGGATTGTATTGCTTTTCAACTGTTGGGGCATTCTGGGTTATTAAATCTTAATTTTTTTTTCAGGCTCATCTGAAGGGTGGTGCTAAGCGTGTTATCATCTCAGCTCCCTCAGCTGATGCTCCCATGTTTGTGATGGGTGTCAACCATGAGAAATATGACAAGTCCCTGAAAATTGTCAGGTAAGGAAGAAGAATGCTCTCTGGCCTGGAATTTTCACCGGGTTTCATTGCACGTATATACATGTGTTGTATATGGCTGATTTTCCTTCTTCCGCAGCAATGCCTCGTGCACCACCAACTGCCTGGCACCCTTGGCCAAGGTCATCCATGACAACTTTGGCATTGTGGAGGGTCTTATGGTAGGTCTGGAGCTTGATGTCAGGAAGATGTCTGCCCCCAGGTCCCTCGTGTGATGAAAAGCATCCATATGCAGTGCTTCCATTGGGTTTGGGAGGAGGTGCTGTGGATGCTTTCTCTGGAGAAAATGACTGTCGTCTTATTTCGGTGCTCTCTTTTCCCAGACCACTGTCCATGCTATCACAGCCACACAGAAGACGGTGGATGGCCCCTCTGGGAAGCTGTGGAGGGATGGCAGAGGTGCTGCCCAGAACATCATCCCAGCATCCACTGGGGCTGCTAAGGCTGTGGGGAAAGTCATCCCTGAGCTCAATGGGTGAGCATTGTCTGTCTTTCTGTGTCAGAAGGAGGTAGGAGCCAGTGCTGGCTTCTGGCTGGTTCAAACATTTTTGTAGTAGAACAGTGCTGGTAGAGGGATGCTTATGCTGTTCCCTGCTGATATATTTCTTGCAGGAAGCTTACTGGAATGGCTTTCCGTGTGCCCACCCCCAATGTCTCTGTTGTTGACCTGACCTGCCGTCTGGAGAAACCAGTAAGTGTTGTGGAAAAGGCTTAAAAATCTTCAGGCTTGCCTCTAAATTTCTTCATACCTGGAGTTTTGCCCCTTCTACGTCCCTTTATTTAATATAAAAATTGTTTTTGCTGAAAATAGCACCTGATATGCACAGCTAGTGTTTTGCGGTTCCCTGTGTCTTGGCTGTAGCTGGCACTTTGAGATGGGATTTGACCATCTTAACTTCTGTCTCTTTTTCAGGCCAAGTATGATGACATCAAGAGGGTAGTGAAGGCTGCTGCTGATGGGCCCCTGAAGGGCATCCTAGGATACACAGAGGACCAGGTAAATAGTTTCTATGTAGGTGTTGCTTGCCTCATTTTTCTGATGGTGGCAGCCTTGCTAGGATGGCACTTGTGGTTCAGGCTGGTTACCATGTATTGGGTGGAAGAGTGCTTGACAGTGTCTCTCTGTTCCAGGTTGTCTCCTGTGACTTCAATGGTGACAGCCATTCCTCCACCTTTGATGCGGGTGCTGGCATTGCACTGAATGACCACTTTGTCAAGCTTGTTTCCTGGTATGCACAGCCTCAGGATGGGGGGGGGGACTGGGAGGTGGGGACTGGGAGGTGAGGTAGAGACTGGCAGTTCTGGTGCAGTTCTGTGCTGCTTCATTTCATCAGCACCATCTGACAATGCATGGCAACACCGATCCCTGCTGAGTTCAGGTGGCTCTAGCATGTGACAGTCTCTAGTGAGATGGCTTCTGAAATGGCTGCTGGTGTCTTCCTGTAATGGAGGGTAGATGAGATGCTGCCTACTTTATAAGGAGTGAATGGGAAGCCTTCCCATTTGGTTGTACGGGCTGGGGCTGGAAGAGTAGTAACATGAAAAGGGATACAAGGAACAGGTCAGTGCTGATAGCACTTCTGTTTCCCTTCGCAGGTATGACAATGAGTTTGGATACAGCAACCGTGTTGTGGACTTGATGGTCCACATGGCATCCAAGGAGTGAGCCAGGCACACAGTCCCCCTGCTGCCTAGGGAAGCAGGACCCTTTGTTGGAGCCCCTTGCTCTTCACCACCACTCAGTTCTGCATCCTGCAGTGAGAGGCCAGTTCTGTTCCCTTCTGTCTCCCCCACTCCTCCAATTTCTTCCTCAGCCTGGGGGAGGTGGGAGAGGCTGATAGAAACTGAT